AGTGTGCTGGCACGCGCAACACGTGACCCGGCTATCAGACTTTGGGGCGTGATATGATGGTGCTTAGCTGTTCACTTGCTCCTCCTGCACTAACTACACAACACCGAACGCGCTCATTGCTCACCCGATGTTCCTATCAGATGTTATTTACGCTGCGAAGGCAGCGTACAACCCAGCCACAAGTCCAAGTTAGATTTAACAGGCATTGCACTGAAAAGCCCAACCTGTTTGTTGTTTCCGCCTATGCGCCGGCCGATTGTAGCCTTGCATCGATCAGGGACGACTTTTATCACCAACTTCACCAGGTGTTGCGCAAAGACGCCAAACCGGACTTCGTTGTTCTTGCGGGAGGCTTCGACACGCGTGTTGGTCGCACGTTGCCAGGTGGATTTCACTTGGGTGCTCATCACGCACCGGATGAGAATCACTCAGTTAATGGAACCAGCTTTCTCATTTTGTATAAGAAAAATTGTCTATTTCTCACAAGCGCATACTTCAGGCGCTCCAGAGGGCATTTCGCTACCTGGTGTCCTCACCAAAGCAGTCTAGACAGCAGTCTGAACAACATTGTATTTGTTTTGAGGTAGCGCGGTAACCTACATGGCTAGACCATTTTTGTCTAGTTATCTTGGTTTAGATCACATGTTGGTCTTTGCAGACGTTTGCATGCGATTCGGAAGGCGTCCGAAACTGAGGCACAGTAAGCGCGGTACAAAAACGCTAACTGATCGGCCGATTCAGCTGAACTATCAATTGTCGTTGACAAACAGATTAATCCGTACTCCGCCTACTGACATTGAACACCATTTGGGCTTCTCGCAGCATGCGATACTAACTTCGGGCTAATCTGTCTGTGGATTGACTTATCACCCCTCTATAGCTTGGATCTCTGCGTGCTCCCCGGGACTGTTCGACCGCCACCCAACTTTTCCCAGTAATCTCAGACTAGAATGAACCGACAACTCAAACGAAGCCTTCGCTTCGGTCGGGGAAGTTTGTTGGTCTCAACGTGTTTCTATAAACAAACCGGATGTTTTTCGAATCCACTTGGACATGGTTTATTTTTTATATCTCATAAGCCATTTGCTAACAAGGATGAAGGTAACACCTTTAAAAACAGTCCGTTGATGAAGGGCCGTCCCGCTATTACATTTGTCAGGTTCATCTTCATCTTGTGGACGTAGTTTATGTAGCGCTGCTGACGTACCATCCCGACGCTCTCTGGAATGACCGCACAGCCCTGCTACTTCCGGCGTATGATCCGTTATCATCACCTGGAACACGTTTTCTGTACAGATAAGCAAATAAGGGTAAAACGGCTGGACGATGTTCAGGCCAAATTACGATCAGGCTAATGCAACCCGAAGTGGACAAACCGTGTACGCTAGTTCAAACAATTCTTTTGATATTGGGCATCTTTCGCCTCGATCAAAGGCGGTAACTCAATTGTCTATTCTCCTCATTTACACTTGTATCGAGTGCGTGAATGTGTGTGGACTTGTGCAGTTGCGCGACTATTGGTGGGTCTGATTCTCGATGAACGACGGACGCATGCCTGCTTAAGAAGAGGGACGCGAACTGATATCCTTTTGCCCGCATTTGGAGAGGACACTAATTGTGGCGATAGATAAACAATTTGTAGCCCATTCAACTATCATCGAAAGTGGGACCTGTGAAGTGCACAGGTCCCAATGATACTCAACCTTGTTTCGCATACACGATGCATAGTAGAGCTGAAAGGTGCATAGCTGACCATGGACGACATCAGAATCCTTATGCTGGATGATCTATGAATGACTCTAGGCTCGTCCTATTAGTTGATGTTTCTGTCGCCTTAATTCTGCATGCTAAACCGGCCAGAAAAAGTCCTTCCGTAGGTGAAATCATCGGCGAGGCGCCTATTGACAGACAAGGCGCCTGCGCGGACACAAGGTTCGGTAACGCAACAAGTCTACTAGAATGAACCGTTCTTTCGCTCGTGGTCTGAGTACCTAGTTTGTAGTGATTACCACAGTTAGTGCTTGGCTACCAGCTTACCGACCTCACACTGACTCGTCTGTTGGACATCGTCCATCTCTGTTACCTGGATTGCGTTCTCCGAGTCCTTGCAACTCACTCGCATTGACACACCTTGCTTTTGAACATGGTATCTCGATTGTCTAGGCCTCAGCTTTGTCGCTCTGTGACGTTACTGAAAGGTGTGAATAATTTGGCTACATGATTTATTCTAGAATGTGTACCGAGGCTCTGCTTGCTAGGTGCTTCATCAATAGTCGGACGTGATTCTAAGATTATCCTCTACGGGCATCCATGTTAAAACCGATTCAACTTTGAAAGGTACACTATCTTCATTCCCAAGACACGAGCTATCTATTCCACTGCAGTAAACGTCTATCTTGGTATATGCATCATCAGTCCCTTGTTGCATTCACAATCAACTCGATCTTCTTTGCTTATTTTTGCGTACCTAAAGTACAGTGCCTTCAGCTACTGTCTGATACGTTCTAAACTCTGCGCTCTAGGACTCGTTATGCACACGTGTGTAGCAAGTGACCCTGTGTGTGGAAGAACGGTGTTCATTTGCTGCTCGAATACAAGTACAAAATTGACCCGCAAAACGAAGTTAGCATGCGTCCAAACGTTTCAGATTCGTGCACGCGCAGATTCAGACAGCTGAGGAAAGTGCTTTTCGCTGAAGCAGATGGACAGAATGTGACTCGTTGACTCAGAGCCCGCTGACAATTACGACGCCATACTCATCGGCCGGTAGCATTAAGGATCACAAGCCTGCTTGCAATCCTAGTTTCCAGGTTCGAGCTTGCGTTAGGAACCTGGCGATCTTCGCAGTATCCTTAGCCCACATGCCATTGATAGTAGTTGCACAGCAGCGGAGCGTCGGTACTGCGTACTGGCGTACTGCTTATGCTCTTTTTACTAGGCCAATATATACTTATGCTCGCCTGGACATTGTCGACTGTGCCGAAGTGCGTGTTGTCCAAAGATGGAAACACTGGAGAGATCATGGCTTGCGGTGCACTCTCCTTATTCACCTCATGTTATCTTTTTGCCCTTCGCTCGACTAAAACGGAGAGAGGGACAACACCGAAATACCTCTAATGGTGGCTTTTTATTTATTATCTCGTCTTGCGGATATCCGCCACCTTAGCGATACCTGAGATGAGTGTCTCGTGAGTCAGTAGGATAACACGCAACTTGGATGTGTAGGCGTTCTTGATCGTAAAATAACTGATCAGTGTGCCCGAGCATCACGTGATCTCCACTTCATGAAAATATAGTTTAATCACACCTGTAAAATCATTACTTGTCTTACTCCGATAGGGCTTCACGTACGAAAATTACGACAGGAAGTGCATTTTTCAGCAACGTTTTGCCAATCAGAGACTGATTTAACGCTCTGGTAAGCACGCGGGTTTTAATACTACTTTCGGGGATAAGGGTGTTTGCCGGCAGTTACGCACTCCTACAGCACCACATATAAATTACGTAGCGATCGGGCCAAAGTTCTTACTGTGAGTCGCACACTTCGCTACTCATGAGCCTGGTCAATTTTACTGTTGGTTCAGCTGGGTTTGCGTAAGTATACTGGACCCAACTACCTCGGGGTGAACGGTATGCTGAAAATAAACCCTAGTACAGATTATCGACTCGAGTTGGCATCTAATGGCCATGTAGGGCTGCTGTGATGTTTTCGACCACCTTGGTCTTTACTCATCCAAACACCACCGCTGTACGACTATTTCAGCCCACGTATGAGCTGCGCACCTGTATCAAATGTCTTAGCGCGAAGTCAAACCATCTTTCACCAAACTCCACATGGCTGACCTTAGCATTATTCCTCAAACATTCTCGTCTCACTCCACTCATTTCGGACACCGGTAGTCGTGTACTGGTGTTCGTTCATTGTCATCAACCCACACTGGCCAACGTTTTATTGCAAGCAGGCTATGCGCTGCTTGCCATGGACGTTTTGAGGTAAGAATTTGATTTCATCAGCACCATCAAGCCTTAGCTGGCATACCCGGATGGTGCCTTTGGGCGCGACTTGCAGTAAAACCAACAAAGACAAAAACAACAACAACAGCAGTACATCAGCCATTTGAACTGATGCTTCGCTGCTATACAACCATGATGACCTATGAAATAAAGAATAATAAGAGGGAGAGAAGGGGGCCTTACCTGAAAACTTTAATGCCCTAAGCAAGCATTCAGGGTCAAGGCGCCTACACCTTGTGTAGACAACATACTGTCACAAACAGTTGGATATCATGCAAAGATAAGGTGACATCGGCGAGACAGCGTCATAATCAGCCATTACCCCGCAGATAACTCAGCACCAAACAGGCAATCCGATAAGGAGACGGCAGCAGACGCAGCAGTAAAACCACTACAACATTACCCAATATGGCACATGAAAGTGATGTAAGACCAGTTTTCTGTTTGGAACAATATTTATGTTTACCTGGTGTATCATCGCATATTGATGAGCTGTTTCGGGGAAAACTCCGGATCCCATGTAGGTTGCACAAATTGAACCACTTTTCGAATCTTCACGCTTCATTTTTAATCTCCTTTTCTCAGTACCAGTCAAACTAGGCTCCAGTCTTGGCACTGTCATTTTTCAGCTATGATCTTGGCACCAAAATACAATGGATTTAGTGACCATGTCTTATCCACCGGTAATGTTGATAAGAATAATCAGTCGAACTTTTACAATCAAGGTTATCGGCACCAAATCAGAAACGAAAGCTTTGGTTGATTCGAGTTGGTATTTCAATTTTTCGACATTGGATGCCATTCAAAGTATTAGTGCGTTGTGCTGCCTTGTATTATTCAGAGATATCCCTGCTCCTACAACCTTTCTGCTTTTACCTGATGACAAATTTACGGTAACGAATCCCATACTGAACAGCAGTAAGATAGTTGCATATGTAGCGGCTTTTCACTTTGTTAACTGAAATCCCTCACACACACCTTTATAGACAACTTGTGAATTTTCTCAACATTGTGCCAAGGCGATCGTTCGTGCATCTTCTTTCTCTCCTCGATCAACCACCATCTTCCGAGCGGACTTCAAATGACATCAATGAACAAATGCCAGCGATTCAGGCATTGATCGACTATCTCTCTTTCCAGCTGAACTCGGTAGGTGAACATCGATCTAATTGTGAGCTTACCCTCTTTGTGCTTCCATTAATCTCATTTGTCTGGGCCCAGCATGCCTTTCACCATGTGCATCCTTATCTGCAGCATAGAGCGTAAACGTGCTACTGTTTATGTTTTCCTTACTTCCCTCTCGATTCCCGTTGCTGGACTTCTATAATCCGCAGCTTAATTGGCGGTAGATGCAGTACCCTTTGAATTCTGTCATTTCACTCTACATTCCGACATTCCCCTTGAACTCATGCCATAAACACCCTTTTATCAGGCTATGCTTCCCTAATTCTCCGACAACCTTCATACTCTGCTCTTTTATAACCGTTACTCTGGTGATAATGCAAGAACCTGAGAGTTATTAAGATTTGGCTACTACCGCAATTAGTATTCTTAGTGTGTAAAAGGTTTGATCACCCACAGTGCCTTTTCTCTGTATACATCTTGATCTTTGTTTGTCTTCAAAAGCGCTTGCCGACCCGTAGCCTAAAGGTAACAAGCTTGTTTTGTAATCTGACGGCACGTGTTCGAGCCTGCCTAGGGACAGGGTGACTCTCGCAGTATTCTTAGCCCAAGTGCGACCGGTGGTAGTTGCGCGGCAGCGAAGAGTCGGTACTGCGTACCGGCGTACTGCTTCTGCCTTTTGCAGTTTCTGTGTAGTGTGCTCTTACTCGCAACCTTCGTCGGACGCTGCTACTACATTTCCTCTTGGCACACATCATCTGCGCCTCCGGGCCTTATCCTTAGGTCGTTGACTTGTTCCGTAACTGACCCGTCCCAGTCCAATTTGCGTGTTCCGTGCTACTGCTTTCTGGCACAGTATCACCCACTCTTGACGCACTACGGTACTGCTTTTGATGCCGTTGGCTGCCAAAGTCTCAGAACTTATTCCTGCCCTCTCCTTGGCAATAGCGTACAGGCCAGTGAAGCATGGATTGCATCACCTCGTCGGTCGTCAGCTTCCACTGTAGTTCTCTCCTGACGGAGGGAATGTACATTACCAACAAACTCCAGGAGGACTAAATGGCTTTTCACTGTCCCCTCGGCCGGTGGCCGAGTGGTCGGCACGTTTGCTTTCCAACCATAAGGTCACCGGTTCGAATCCGCGTAGGGGTGGGCGTCCTCGCGGTATACTCAGCCCGCGCGCGACTGGTGGTGGTCGCGCGGCAGCGAAGCGCCGTTACGGCGTATAAGCTGACACATTTCTTTTCTTTCTCTGGAGGTGAGTACAAAAAATGATTAGGCATTCTAGCCAGACAATACACTTTCTATCGATCCACAGGCCCTCTTACTAGCAGCACTTGACAATCAACACTGACGAAAAAGACTTAGTAACACCGGGAGAGTGGACAGGAAGCAGACTAATAGCCGGTGGCGTCGATCCCCGGATTTATCAGAAATCTTGTACTTATTACCGAAGCCACTGATCCTGTTCCACACTGAAGATGTCAGCTCGGTTTCTAGTGAAACCTGTTTAATCTAGTTCTCTACCTTGGCGAACAAGCCGACATCTTTAACCACTAGTTTTTACACCATTTCTTTACCCTCAAAAGACTATCATGTCACTCATTCTTTTTGTCTTCTTTGGTAATGCAGCTCGATGAATCGGGCGCAGCTACCAGCCCGATGCAACAGACATCGACGACACGACTGGACGAGGCTCTATGTCCAGTTTTGAACGCGCTAATCAGAGGGTCCCAAGCCAATCGCTCCATCCGTAAATATTGCCGTTCCAAGGTAAGCGGGACGTTTACATCAGAAGCACAATCTTCCAATCCATCAAAATGAATCCTTTTCCATTAGAAGGACGTCACTCAGTGACCTAAGCACTCAACTTATTCCTCTTTACCGAGGAGTAGTAAGGGGAGTTGAATGGTATAGGTGGAAATTCGGCACATCTAGACTCATACAAACAGCCATTACACGCCCGGAAAAGTACTGTACGCGCGTTTCATCCTTTCGGGAATCGTCAGCATTGCGCATTCCATCGGAGTGTGGTAGAGCTCGAACCCGCAGCTCGACTGTTGCCAGTCCGTGGTTAAGACAACTGGGCTACGGGGGGACGGCAACGACCATTGTGTATAAGTAACTAGATGTGATATAGCGCCGCTCACTATCCATTGACTTGCACGTTGCTGCTGTGCAGAAAACAAGGTAGCCCCCTCACTTTAAGTTTGGTAACTCCATCGCTTGGTGTGGGGGTTTTCCTGTCCTCTGTACGATAGTAACGTGGAGGTCAGTGGATAGTGAGCGGCGCTGTATCACATCTAGTAACTTATTCACGATGATCGTTGCCGCCCCCTGTGGCTCAATGGTCTCAACCACGGACTGGCAACAATTGAGTTGCGGGTTCGAGCCCTACAAGTGTCAAATGGAGCGCACTCTGTTCACGATTCTCGAAAGGATGCAACGCGCGTACAGTGCTTTACCGGGCGTGTGACGACTGTTTGAGTGAGTTAATACGTAACGAATTTCTACCTATATTATTCCTTTTTCTCCCGCCTGTCCCCATTCATGCGGGATAGTGTACACTCGTTCGCGGTTTCCTCGCCGTCTGGTCTGAACACAGTGATACGTCTCTTTTAGCGAATCTTGTGTGTTTACCTTCCAAACTGATTTCGTCTATCATCTATACGTGTACGCTTCCGCTTTTCATCCAGCTCGTGTTTGCCTATGCAACATAGATTAGTTTCCGTGTCCATCGCATCATGTCAGTGTGCTATACTGTGATCTCTATCATCAGACTCAAACCGTCCCAGAAATGCTACCGTTTGCTCTTCATTTACTTACGTTTCAGTACTTCTTCCCGAGTTCATTCCGTCCACCGTATTGATACTAAAGTCTAAGGGGCGTGCTTGGTTTTGCGTGGTCCGTCTAGCCATGCCTAGTAACTTTTTCCAACTGTCATCAGACCCATTCATATAATATAGGTCAGTTTTCGTTGACATTCTATCTGAGCCATGGGCGCCAACTACCAACTTAGCGCGATTTGCGTAATGATGAGAAGGCACTAAACTGTCGAACTGCTTGGCTACTGGTTATCTGAAACCTCTAGTCAAAAGACTACAAACCCGCCAAAAATCCTCTCTAGTTGCCGCTCGCCTCAAGCGCATAATCTGCCAATCGAATGCATGCGAAGTAAGTATAAGTGTCTACCAAGGCTGTGTGGTCAGTCACATTTACATCACCAAAGGCTTCTTTACTCATATTTTCTAGTTGGATGTGCTCCTCGCTGCTCTTTGGGTCAGCCTACTGAATCAAGGAGCAGTGCTGGGAACCCGGTAACAAAACTCTTTGTCTCGGAGTGAACAAACGTTGGGTTTCATCTGTTCTCAGCACACCGCCACCGCCACTTTTTCTCTGTTTCTCTCTCATTGATATCTCTTTTTCTTGTCAACCTGTAGAAAGAGAATGAAAAGAAAGGCACCAGCAGTACACCGGTATACAGCACCGTCGCTTCGCTGCCGCGCAACCACTACCGGTCGCATGTGGGCCAAGGATACTGCTAGGGTCACCCTGCCCATATGCAGACTCAAACCCGCGCTGTCGGATTATAAGACAAGCTCGTTACTTTTAAGCAACGGGCCGGCTTTGTAACCTGTAACTGACCGATTCCCGTTTACCTGAACCATCTTTCTACCTAAGCCCTCATTTTGTATCGGTTACCTCAGCTTTCGCTATATCTCCGAAACCCATTTAGGATTGATGCTTTCTGACAACTCTTCGATCACTCCACCTACATTCCTGTTTTACCGGCTCTATCCTTCACGTCTCGGGGTTGCAGATCTATCAAAAACCGACGGCAGTCTTTTGGTGTTGATCGAGTCAAAAAATCGCTTGTGCACTGCTCGACTTTATACCCCATTGGGGTTCCTAGGCATCATCTGGGACCGTAGCCTTCCTTTTACTTCGGGCTACTCGTCCACCGTCTGTACTATACATGATACATGTGCTGATAACATGAATATCCCAGTGGGCATCTTATCGAAGGCCGGGCCCATGTCCAATTTTACTGGCATCAGCAACTGCCTCCTTTGGTCATGTGCTGACCGCAACAATTATATCACTGGCTATTCTTCTGGTGTTCCCACGGAGGAAATGGCTTCCCTAAACCCAACGTGATCACAGCCATAAGTGGTGCATGTTATTGCATCGCTGTCAATCGATCTGACCCACCTGTTTAAGTTATCACTTCGGTAGCACCTATTCTCTCGATTTTAACGTGTTTCTTCGCTTCGGAATTCCTTGCTATTTACCCGAACTCACGGTTCACGTATTGGCACTTGCAAACGAACCGTGTGATTGATCTGAATGCCGATTGAACTTGTCCCCAGCGCGCAGTGTAACTTACCTTTGCTGTCTTATGTTCATCTTGTTTGAACCAATGGGTGAATCTCTGAGACTCCGACCAGTTTACTTGAAGCATGCGATTGTTCCACTGGGCGAAAGCAGCATCTATCTTTTTTTGCCGCTCTGCTGCGGCACTTACTTACTAGCACTACAATTGACCAGGAGCGTCGTTGGATAACTGAGGCCTGTGAAATATGATCGGCTAATGTACTTGGAAGCATCCGAATTCTATTCCATCTCCTCTGACATGTGAGTTTAAGGATGATCTCAGCGAGTGAAACGATATCTGCAAAGCTGAACCAACGCTTCAGTGTCCCAATCGCTAGCTTTAGGACTGCAAGATAGCCTTGGAGGATCAGTTCTTCAGGTCTGTTCTGAATCACCTGAACCAACTTGCCATGTCATTGTCTCAGCTCTTACTTTCTAAGGGGAGCTTCGAATGGTACAAGCGTTTTGGAGCTAAACTAATTGCCTAGACTTCTTGGTTAACCGATTTAGTTGCCTTTTCGGGATTTGAGGTTGTCGGCCATCATCTATCCATCCATCCGAAGAACAGAATGTGAACTTCACCAAAGCATTCGCTTCATCGCTGTGGTCTTTATGTCTGCCATCTATCATCCAACCTCTAGTCAATTTCCCCAGGGATGTGTCTAGCGCTCCTGCTTGCGCTGGCCTTATTTAACGTTAACAAATTGACCGCACACAGCTGACTCTAAGTAACTTTAAACATCGATAGATCGAGTCGGTTGTTTACCGATCCATGTATATCCCGAGATCGGCATTTGGATTGCTAGCGTTTGATCCACCATTGATGCATAGCAATAAATAGTGTACTTTTTGACTACTAATATTCAATTATGTCTTAGTTATTAGTCGTTTCTAATCGTCCTTATTGGTTGCTTAGTTGAGTTGTCTGTTAGACCCCAGTGGTTGCAGTGAGTTCTAGGAATATTCTCTGTACTTGGAATGACTTATTGCAATTTTACTGATGAAAGAGGTACATGGTCGATGGGGCGAGCTTACTCTGGTTGCTCCGTTTATTGTCTTGTCATTGGATTGATTAGTTACGCTTGGTTCCTCTTGTCGCATGTAGTTGACACGTCGGTTTTTTTCGGTGTGCATACTTATGTCATGTTTGTGGAAGCGTTCTGTTGCTTTCCATGTTTCTGCTTATGTCAGAATTTCTGTTTTGGCCCATATGCGCCCGGTCGTGTCTCACAATCCTTTCCGTGCCCTCGTGTCTTCGCACAGTTTGTTTCCTGTTTACCTTACACGACCTATGAAGCAATTTTGACATAGGACCCTTGTATACACCAGATGTGTGGGTCAAAAAGGAAAGCAACTTTTAGTAAAATACAAGCTTACAGAAGGAATTAAGAGTCTGGCCGCAAGACAGAAGAACCATGATTTGTGCACAATATTGGATCTTTTCACCCTAACGGTCGCCACCCAAATTGCAACCCCCCGACCAAGAGGATGATTGATTCAGCTGGTATGAGAAGTAATCCAGGCACCCGATGGTGTCACCCAGCATGCTTGTTGGGATCAAGGAGGTGCACAGACCGTCGCACTTCATTGGTACCGTTGTCACGTGGCCTTGACCTTGCTGTTCTAGTTTGGGATCATGTTGATCACAGGGACCATATCTTCTCTACCCCTTATTGAGTAGAGATTACTCCGCGTATGTGACCAAAATAACTAGAGTACGTTTTCTTTGGGTCAATCTTAACTCTGCGTCCGCTTGTATAGGGAATGTGAATGGGTTGATCGCTTCTGGCTACCTACGCTTGCATCGTTCAGATCACTAAATGTGTGGGGGTCGGCTAGTTGATGTTTAGCAGCAAACTGACGCAGAATCATTTTGTTTTTCAAAGCTACATGGCATACATTAGCATGCCAATCGGTTTTACGAACTTGTATTGTTTGCCAGCCGTGTGCGAAACCCGACGGCAGTCAGTAAATTGCAGAGCGGATTATATGTCAGGTGGACTTTCCAACAAGGCTTACGCTGCACCAGCAGCGCCGGTAGTGTACTCAGAAATCATGTGGCCCCTTGAATTTGGTCTACTGCTTCTACTCGTCCTTCTTTTCAACTAGCAGTTATACGGTTCCTCTTTATTCCGTTTCTTTTTCCTTTGGTTTCTTTGCTTTCTCAACCCATTTCCTCACCAATTATACTAATTACAACAGAATCGGTAGTTGTTATAGCGACATTAGTTCTGGTTCCAGGAAGATCAGTATATACTAGCCGACTGCTTTTTGAGCTTTTCTGAAATTGTGCACCCTTGGTCGGTTCTCGGCGTACTTCAGGATGTTGGACACACGTCTTGTGAACTTGGTCTATGGCACTGGGTGCTCTCGTTATACTTGCAATTACAACCATGACGAATCCCTTTTTTAGATCCTTCCGCATCTTGGAAACGATGCCCGGCGCTTGCCAGAGGAAGGGAGCACACTTCGCAATCGGTACGCATCATATTTTACTCTTGCGCACTTTTCTGCCGCTTTTTGGCTATTTTTTGGATTGGCTACCTCCCAACCACAATTTCGCTTTTCTACCCTTTTTTACTTAGATTGTTCGCCATTCTTATGAATTACAGTACGCAGTATCATTTGAGTACTCACAATAAGTTTACCCTTAGTGATCTCTTGTTCCTGGACCGTATTCGACGTCGTGATATTTTGAATCTTGCCTGCTCACAACATTTCACCTCATTTGATTCGCTCCCACCTGGGCTCTTCCGGTAGATATATTGTGACCTACGATCCGAACTCTAACTTACGTAACTGCTGACCAAAGCCTTGGTCACTCGGCTAGCAGATTGCATGGATAGTTCGTACGATTCCAACTGATTACTCCGTGTTTGGCTCGCAATCCGCAATCTCACTTGAGGCCTCAATACAGTTAGGAGACAACTCGTTCTGATAGCGCGTAACCAATCTCTCATTTTCTTTTTTGTTCACTCAGCGGTTGATTACGTTACTGACTTATCGACTCTATTCAACATCGACGTTTACAAAGCGCTTTTCGAAGGCCGCTCATGTTGTGCGTCCGCATGATGCCGGCGAGCCCACGGTTCTACACTCACTTGTTACGTGTGGAACACTTCTAGAGAGCGCACGTATGACGGTTCAGCTGAGGTCTTATCAACGGTCAATGCAATTTAGGGACTTCGACTTCTACCTCGTTTAGCTCTGTAAAACAGTCCACACGGAATAGTTACCAACGATACAAGCTACGTACGTCTTGCATACTTCACGCATCGCAGAGATCCTTCTTACAAATTGTCGGAGGTGACCGTGCGCCGAGTTATTCAATATTCTTCTCCTTTTTGGTGAGACATTCGAGCGTGTGTATGGATGCTCAGCGGAACTGATCCAAACTGTGTTCCTAGTGCGACAGCATATTTGCCGTTGGTTCACACTTTGTGCGTCACAACTCTCCTAATGGAAAATCCGTTTGCTGTTTCCCTTTTGTTGTTACTGTCTACCAGTTGTATTGTTATTGGCCTAACGTCATCTTCTGTGATCGTTTTATGCGAAATGGGATTCGCTCAGTTCTTTTAGCTTGATCTGATTATTATTCCTCTCTCCGCGTTTCACCACTATGGTGTGTTTGAACATGATCGCAGGCTGCTCAAATTTCGCAAAATTTAGGCGCTACCGTCGTATTCAAGTTAATTGCATTTTAACTGGCCGGATAGTGAGCTTCTTCCTTTAAGCATATTGCCACTCAAAGGTTACTCAGGCTGTTCGTTCAATGCCTTGCATGCCACTACAACTGGAATCCCCGCGGACACAATACTGGCGTCCTCGTGATTTTCGTAATACAAACTCTTTTTGTTTTACTTGAGGTGCATTTCCAACTGACTCTTATGTGCTTAGTTTCACGCATCATCACCCATTCGTTTTTACTGTGCTCAATATTGAAACTGGCTTGTTTTTCTTTCGAACAGCCGTAGAGACCAAAACACAAATCTATGGGAGTTTGTCCCCTCACATATGTAATCTGCTATTATCCACCACCCTGATCCTCTTCTTGCTACTAACACCAGACCGGTTGTTCCCTTATCTGGCTTTGTTTTCTAGCCTTTGCAAACTTCTTACCAATCCACAACATGGTGTCAGCGAGCTGGTAGCTCTTCTGCTTTTTGTGTTGTGCAAAGAGGATAGTAAGTTCGTTTGTTAACCGCTTGTCTTCCACTCTATTCGGTTCGTCACACCAACTGAACACGGAGTGGTGATTTGTGTTGCTGGTAGAATGGGCCACCTACCAATCCTGTGTGTATATGCTTAATACTAATAGGTATATTTCTCATCAAGAGAGAAACTGTGTCCATATTTGACGTAGATCATATGTTACAGAATATGTCGTGCTCATGCATATATGGTAAACAGATGTGTAATTTTTATAGCTTTTGCTCTCACAACGGTTTGTATTAACTCACAGATGTATTTCAACACAATGTGCACTAGTTGGATTAGGGGATAGTAACAGCACTAAGGGTATACCACACTGCGTGAAATTGTTCTGTTTCATCCAGATGTTTTCTTGCCTTTCTTGGAACAAGTCAACAAGTGATCTCTCCCAGAAGTCTAGGTAATTGGCGAGCTTAACGCGAAAGGCCGTTGCGCTTTCACACGATCTGATTGTGACTAGAAGCTTATTCCACAGGACGGTATGTATAACCGCAGATTTGTCTTGCACCTAGGTACTCTCAGAGTAAGCACCTTATTGTGTCGTTCTCTTGTCCAACTGTACTGTGGTTATCCGGAAGGCAAATAGCAGTGGGCGTTTTGATGAATCATGTTGTACAGAAGCATCAGATTATGCCTCAATCCTCGTAGCCAAAGCGGATCAAGCTGGAATTGTTGGCAGCTCTCCCGATAGTTCTTACTGGAAGTTTTGCCTAGCAGACATTTGACAAATGACCTCTGTAGACTTTCCCGAAATTGTCAGGTTTCCTCATACTGCCACTAATGATACTGCAATATTCCGAAATGGGGCGAGTGCTTACTTTGAAGAGTTTTACTGTGGCTGGGGTTATCTTGATCTTATCTGCAGTGTCTATTAGCCACTAATTTTCCGGCCTTGGCCACCTGGTATATAAATTTTACGGAAAAGTTAAAAGTGCAAGAATACCTGATTCAGAGGTCACGGGTAGACAGCTGTAAACATAGGTGTTCATCATAGTTCATCCCTCGGGTATCGAACAACCGCGATACATGATGCTAGATTTTTTCGACAAGAACTTCATCATCCAAGTCATACCATTTCTCAAAGGAGTGGAAAGTATTCCTGTATAGGCTGTAGTGTATCTTGAAGTTCAGCTTATCGGAATCTGTAGGCTATCTTTATGTCATCTACAAATAGGAAAGGCATACCATGTTTACTAACCGCACTGATGTCATTGACGGACCAAGTACACTTTCTTGAATAATACCACTAGTGATTTGATGTGGTGAAGAGTGGTTGTCATCTATGATAATTACCTAAGAACGGCCGCTCAGGTGTGACGATAGCTTATCTAGGAAACAATCTTTTTCAGAAGCGGTTTGTGGGGTACCCGATCGAATGTCATGTACAGGAACAGAATTATGTTTGCATACTCTGAGAATCCAAAACAGAGTCTCCATAATGCAATTGGCAGGTTATGCACCGTCGTTTATTCAAGAAACCATGCTGGGGCTGTCGATCAGCTCCAGCGAATTGATGAATTTCATCACACCACTCTTAACCAATGTATCCAATTATTTGGATAAATCAGGGCATGATGGATTGGAAGGTAATTGTCTATTTTTTGTTTGGGGCCTCTCTTGTGTCGGTAGATGATGTGCGGTGTTTCCGACTGGTGTGCAAAGTGACTTGATTCCAACGAAAGGATAAACAAGTTCAGAACTAACAACGGTATGTCATGCTCTCCCAGTTTTATGACGGCAGGTGGGATGCCATCGGAATCCAGATGGAAGATTGTTTGATGAAAGTCATCACATGTTGGATAGTACCGATAGAAAATCCAATTTTGCACAGAGCGTAGGTTGTTTGCACCCCAATGCATGCATTTAGCGGGTCCGTCTCCAGGCTCATGGAGGTAGCGAAAAATGAGCTAAACATTTCGCAGATGGCAAATGGATCATGAAGGGATTATCCGTCTACACTAACCAGTCCATCGATCAAGGGGGAGTAGTAATTGGTTCTATGACGCAGAATATTAACAATTTCTTTCGTTTTACATGTCATTCGTAGAGCGCCAATTCTAAATGAACAAAGGAAAGCTGGATGTGCCAAATTAACCGTAAAAGAACACTAGTACATACTCTGACAAATCATGCACGGAAGATCTGTAGTGAGGACACAGTCGAAGAAAAAATGAAGCGAATCAGGCAAACGCTTCACGAAAACGGTTATCCAGAACGATTCATTGACGTTCATATAAAGCCTAGTAGCCCAAGACCAGCAGTACAAACGGTAGAGAAGAAACAGCTATTTCTCCAGCTTCCCTTTAAGGGTGACATACCGGCTGAGATATGCACACGACGACTGATGCAGACTTGCCGAAAGACCTTTAATGCAGCTCAACTAAGTGTCACTTTTGCAAGCAGTTCGTTCATTGTTCCTAGCTTCAAAGACAAGCTGTCTGATCAACGACAATCAAAGGTAATCTACCGGTTCACCTACTCCTGTGGTGCTAGGTACATTGGGCGCACGACTAGGCAATTGGAAAAGCGAATCAAGGAACATTTACCAACGTCGCTCGTCACCCAACAGGACAAAACTAAGTTGAGTGCAATAACTAACCATCTGATCTCCAAGTCATTTGATATCCTTTATCGAGTGCCATCGCACCTACACCATCGGTCAGGGGCTCGGCTACTTGCTACCGCTGAAGCGGTATGCTTCAGGCTGACAAAGCCTACTCTGTGCATTCAGAAGAAGCATTTGAAATAAATATGAATATCCGTAGCTCGGGGTGTGGATGCGGATTTTGAGCGGTTCTCCGAGCTGAGTGATTATTGTGCAGACGTTTCGTTGCCTGACTAGGCAACATCATCAGTGCGGCTTCACGGGCCTGGTTCGCAGTGCCTCGTAAGCGACTTCAATGTCCAAGTGCTTATTGATCGAGTTCTGCTTTGAATGCCAGGTTTAAATGAACTCACGTGCTTGCCGGCTTTTAGCCCTTCCGAGGATACTGGCATGCTCTATGTCGAATTGATGGTTCTCAGCATCCATGTGCACTGACATCAGGGAGTTCTGATCGTGGCGACGTATGGCTAGGCTGTGTTCGTGTAGCCTTGTGCCAAGCTTTCTCCCAAGGCTACACTTTTCAAAGGTTTCTTACTATTTTCTGTATTTGCATACCGAGCTATGAATCTTGCGGGGTATCCATTTTCCTGCAGTGTTGATGACACGCGTTCTAGTTCACTGTCAATCGTATCTTCGGAACAAATTTTACGAGCTCTTGCGAAGGCAGAGCGGACCAATGCTCGTTTATAATTTATAGGACAGAAACTGTTGAAGTTCAATATTGTCCTGTCCAAGTAGGCTTTCGATACACAGATCGAGTGAGTGTGCCTTCTGCATTCCTCTTCAGGTGTACATCCAAGAAGTGGAAGGTGTTGTCCACCTCGTTTTCCATTGTGAATTTGATCGCAGGGTGGCATTTATTTAGAACTTCAAGTAGTTCTGCGTGTTGAGGGCTATAAACTACAACGAACGTGTCGTAAGGATATCTCCTGTACATATGCACCTTTTGCATGTAAGGACGTAGTTTCGTGTACTCCAAGTGGCACATGAAAATGTCAGCCAGGACTGGCCCAAGTGGACTGCCCATGGCTACGCCATCGATCTGAAGGTATAATGTTCCGTTGAAGTGGAATACTATGTCCTTGGTGCACAAACGGAATAAAAGGTTGAGAAGATGTGCTGGAAAACCCACTTTGGCAGTATGAGCACCGATGATGTCTAACGTCTCTTCCAATGGGACGTTGGTGAAAAGTGTGCATACGTCATTTGAGACCATGTATTTTCCATTTAGGTTTAAGCCCAGTATTGTGTCGACGAACTGAAATGTACCTTTGAGGGTAAACACGGCTACCTCACATTGGATGCGTTCTATCGGCTCGGTTAACCAACGTGCCAGCTTATGCTATGGCGTGTTTACCACTGATAGGATTGGACGAATCGGAATTCCCCCCTATGTGTCTTCGGCAAACCATACATATGGGGAAGTCGAGCCCCACGCGGGCACAGTTGTGTCATGGTTTTCGCATCAACCAATCGAGTACTCAGTAACGTTTTAAGTTCACGAACCATGGATCTTTCAACGTGTTCGGTTCTATCGCGACCCGTCAAATTGCGAACGATGCGGCTAGTGACTGCAAGCAGTTGGGAAATGCATTACGCGGTCGAACTGGTGTTATTGCAACAAGTTAAGAAGTTGCTCTGCAAATCCAACCTGGACAAGTCACACTCTCACGTTACTGCCTCTTGTGTTTATCTATTCCACTGTACTTGTGGTAGCAGGTACGTTGGCCGAACTGAGAGTAGGCTATCCACTAGGATTTCAGAGCACATTCCACGAATTATGGTCATTAACGGTCCCAAATGCCGGTTAGCTCTATTGCTCAACACGTCCTGGATTGCACAATATGCCAACTTCCTCGTGATTGTTTTAAAGTAACTAACCTACAGAGCAATGCCCGATTGCTTCAATTTGCCGAAGCCTCAGCTATTTGGCAGCTTAAGCCCAATTTGTGCAAGCAGACTGAACTTAGCGCCAGCCTCGCCCTACATTGGTTAGGTTACTGATCGTTTTCCTTTGAACTGAATGACCTTGTACATTGCTTCCCCTTTTGTACGCAACGCGATAATTTCACCAATGTGTGTAAACAGCTGACGAGAACACTCGAAATACCTGAGTTCAGCGTTTCCTGTTAAATGGATTTTCTTGCTATTTTAAGAAAATTTTGTTCAATAAGTAGTTGCTCTCTGTTTCCCGAATGAACTACGCTTCTCAATTTATATCTCTGTACCAATCCTGATGATGAATAAGTCGAAAATAATTGTTCGCTTTAAGCGTACCGCTTGCGTTTCTTGCAATATACTATAAAATGGGTCTACTACACGATATTAAAGCTGTATGTGTAGACGACGATGGTTGAGACGACCAGG